ATTTTATTGTGAGTAATCTCTGCCACTTGTATTTTTTCATTCACCATTATATTTGTAAGAGTTGGTGAATGTACCTCTGGTGAGTTTTTAAATTTTCATTGCTGCTATTTGAAAAATTCATTGACTATATCACTGTTTATCTGTTTTCCTGTTATAGAATAGTGCTGCTGTGAGCAGTCTTGTACATGTGTCCTTCTGCACAGAGTTCTTTAGGGCACATGTATCCAGCAGTGGAATTACTATGTAGTAGAGTATGTACCTCTTCACATTCAGTAGATACTGCCAAATTGTGACTTATAGCAGTTGATTCAGCTTATACTTTCTCTTGCAGTGGCTGAGTTCTCATTTCTCTGCATCCCTAAACAGCAGTTGCTGTCATCAGACTTTCGTATTTTTGCTGTTTATTGAATGTTAAATATTACTCGTAAGCTTTTTTATATGAATTTTTTTTCTAATTTGGTGTAAACCTACCAGTGTCAGAATCGAGATTGAGCCTAAGAGAAGTAAAGTAACTTGTTTAAGGTCGTGCAGCCAGAAGATGGCTGAGGCTGGATTAGGGGAGAGCTCTGTGAACACCAAAGCCGGTACCTGTTCCTTCGCAGCTGTCTGCGCAAGGGTCTCTCACTCTGCCTTGAGGTTGGTCTGCCACCAACACTAGCAGAGCCCAGTTGATATAGGACTGATTACGGAGTTCTGTGCTTTATGTCCTGCTTTTCCTTTCATTTCCTCATCTCACTGTTTCTTGAGAAATTCCATTAGTAGCCTTCCTGTTTTTAGTAAACTCTTTTAAAGGATTTATTATAAAAGGATTAATAAACTTAACGGCAGGCCTGTTTGGCCCATTTGTTTTTTGGATTTTTAAAATTATTATGGGGTGCCTGGGTGGCTCAGGCGGTTAAGCATCTGCCTTCAGCTCAGGTCGTGATCTCAGGGTCCTGGGATGGAACCCTGCGTTGTGCTCCCTGCTCAGTGGGGAGTCTGCTTCTGTGTGCTCTCTCTCTCTCTCTCAAGTAAATAAATAGAAAGTCTTTTAAAAAAATAAAATTTGGGGGGCCCCCGGGTGGCTCAGTCGTTAAGCGTCTGCCTTTGGCTCAGGTCATGATCCCAGGGTCCTTGGATCAGGCCCCGCATCGGGCTCCCTGCTCGACGGCAAGCCTGCTTCTCCCTCTCCCACTTGCCCTGCTTGTGTTCCTGCTCTTGCTGTGTCTCTCCCTGTCAAATAAATAAATAAAAAATCTAAAAAATAAAATAAAATTTTTATTATATTTACAAAACAGTACCCATTTATTAGCTCCTAGTTTTATAGGTCTGAAGTCTGGCATGGCATGGAATTCTCTGCTCGGGGTATCACAAGGCTGAAACCAAGATATTGACGTCATAAAGTTCCCATTTGGGAAAAACATCTTCCAAGGTCATTCTTAATCATTGGCAAAATTCTGTTCCTTTTAGCCATAAGACTGAGATCACCATTTCCATGCTGGCTGTCAACCAGGGGCTGCTCTGAGCTCCTAAATGTCACCTGCATTCCTTGCTACATGGTCCCCTCTGGCCGTGATGGTGTACTGGTCAGTTCTTTCTTACTCTTTGAATCTTTGACTTCTTCCTCTGCCACTTGCCAGGGAAAATGCTTTGTATATATATAGATTTATTATTTTAAAAACTATTTTGGTTGGCTCATCATACCTCGTATCCATGTTTCTCTGTCAATGGATTGAGAGCTGACTGTCCTGATCCCAAGAGAGTCATAGTGGAGAACCTCTTCCTCTTTCTGAATTGGGTACCTCTGAGGATATGGAACTGCCATGCTGGGTTGTGTTCCCAAATGGACTGTAATTTCCTTCTGTCATCATATATGAAAGAATGAAAACATTAGGCAGCGAAGACATGAATATGTAGATTCATAGAATAGTATCTATTTATAGCTAAAAGCCACTTTTCAGAGCAAATGGGACTGAGCTTCCGTTTAGCAGTTTGGCCAGAGATCCCATATCATTAAATTTAGGGCCTCAGGTGAGCTAGATTGTTGTTGATAGTGGCTCCTTTGGCTCTTTTTTCCTTTTAACTTTGTGTTGTAAAGTATAGCAAATATGCCGAAAAGCGTGTGTGTGTGGTTCTGATAGATTATTGTTGTTGTTTTTACCTTTGCTGCTATTTGAAGAATCAAGTAGATGAATGTTCTGCTATTATTTATGTATGAATCACTGAGTTTTCGAAAACTGAGCACACCATGGAACCAGTGAAGAAACAGAGCATTACCTGCACCTCACTAGCCCTCTTTGTGCCCCTTTGTAGTCACTATCCATCCACTAAGGGTAACCTCTGTCCGACTTCTAGTAACGCAGGTTAGTTTTGCTTGTTTTTATGCTTTATTAAAAATGAAATGAAAAAGTGTATATTCTTTTGTGTCTGACTTCTCTCACTCTACCTTGAGGTTGTGAACTTCATTTATATTGTTGCATATAAACAGTGGATTATTCATTCTCTTTGCTCGTCTAGTATTCTGTCACAGTTCTTTGGTTCATTTTAATATAGCATTGTGAGTGTTTTGCCATGATCTGTGTTTTAGTGTGTTTGGTGTATGTTCCTACTTTATCTCTATTATTACTTTTATTTATTTTTTTAATTTTTTAAAGATTTATTTATTTTAGAAAGAGAGTACGTGCACGTGAGCGGGCGCATGTGGGCACAGGGGAGGGGCAGAGGCAGAGGGAGAGAAGCAAACTCCCCACTGAGCACAGAGCCACGAGATCATGACCTGAGCCTCATGCCCTGAACCGAAACCAAGAGTCAGATGCTCCGTCGACTGAACCACCCAGGCACCCGATCTCTTATTTTTTAAATGGGCCTAAAGATAAAGGATAGGGACTAGAATGGTAGGATATTCAGGTGCATTAAAATTAAAGCAGAATATTCTAGAGCTGGCTAACCTGAGGGAACTTTTAAGTTCTAGATGGAGGCCATGATCTTGGTCTTCATAATCTTTGATCTGAGGGCTTTTTTTAAACCGAGAATATTGACCTGATTGTGAGTAGGCAAATCAGATAACATTTAGACTAAAAATCTGGTTTTGATCTCACACTATCACATTTATAGTCTATTGAAATAAAGCTTAATTTCTCCAAACTTGAGTGTCCTGGTGTGTCATTTAGTTCACATATTATAGAAATCTGAGCTTCACAGTCTAAATAACTAAGGAAACTGTAAAGACTAATACCTCTGGAATGGAGGCTTTTAGAATCTTCAATTAGTAGAAAAGGAAGGCACCATCAGTACTCAAGTTTTACCTTAATATGAGTGAACTTCAAATCATTACCCAGCAAAAAGTGCTTTTTCTTCAAGATTATATTTATTTATTTGAGAGAGAGAGAGTGAGCACAAGTGGGGGGCAGAAGCAGAGAGGGAGAGAGAGAGAGAGAAGCAGACTCCCCGCTGAGCAGAGAGCCTGATGCGGGATTCGGTCCCAGGACCTTGAGATCATGACCTGAACCAAAGGCAGACGCTTAACTGACGGAGCCACCCAGGTGCCCCTCTTCTGGATACTTTTAAGAGCACCTGAATCCCTCAAGTAGAGTGAGGGCATATCTCAGGACCCCAAGTAGAGCAAATCTGGGATTGAACTGCATCTTAAGTAAGAAACTGAGGACTAGTTAAGAACCTGAAAACTTGGCTAGGAGGCTATTGCTAGTGAATATTGAGTACATTTGATCGCTTTGTGACTAGAAAAAGTTTAACAAGCACTTGCTAGGCTGTTGCTTGCACACACTCTCCACTAGATCTGTCGATTCAAGCATTGAGGTATGACATCTTCGCTCAGGACTATGCAGCTGTACAGGGCTAAAGACTGGATCTAAGAACGCTATCTGGTGGTTCTCTGTAGCTACCCAACTTAATGAAAGGGACTCTTCCGATGCCAGTTCAGCACAGCCATTATAATGACTCAAGGAAAGAAAATATATAAAGAATGTGGTTTTTTTTGTTGTTTTTTTTAAGATTTCATTTATTTGACAGAGCACAAGTAGGCAGAGGGAGGAGAAGCAGGCTCTCCGCTGATCAGGGAGCCCGACATGGGGCTCCATCCTAGGACCCTGGGATCATGACCTGAGCTGAAGGCAGACACTTAACCGACTGAGCCACCAAGGCGCCCCAAGAATGTGTTCTGCTACAGTTCATCTCTGCAGATGAAATACAGCAACCCATTTAGTAGTTTAAGCAGGAACAACAATAAAGGTTGTTATATGAGGATTTTAGGGTATATCTAGTCAAGATGCCATTCTTGGGCAGACACCAGTCATTAGAATTCCATCTCTGAGTCTCTAAATGGCAGGATTTTTATTAGCAAGGTAGTACTTAGAGATTGTGACCATTTGCTTTTGACTTGCCTAGCTTACCTTAATTGAGTTATTGAATTTTCTAAGAGATCTCCGTGGTATGTATGTATGAATGTATGTGTGTGTGTGTGTGTGTGTGTATGTATACACATTGCTTGAGACTTATAAAAATAGCCTTGCATCCTATTTTTACCAGTCTAGATCAAATCCATGAGAATTCACATCACAAATTTAATGTTTCAGCCAAGAATAGTACATTTCTTTCCACAAGTAACTTGGCAAGTTCCAAAAAGATCCCTGAGTGACTTTCTTCAATTAATTATGGAGCACATAGGGAATTGAAAATTAAAGTGTGAATGGAGGCCATGTAGATCTCATTTTGTCCTATAAGTGCTCATAATACCTACTATCTCATAGGGATTTTAAGGTGTATAATTTTCATAAAGCCCTTTAAGTTCCTGAGGGAAGACTCTCTGTAGTTTAAAATGTTATTAATTTGTATTCTTCTTTCCTGTTTATCCAGCTTATGTTCAGACATATTAATTAATCATTATGTATGTTAGCTAGAACTCTGTTTTTTAAGTTTACTTTATAGCAATGTCAGTAATAATTCCATAACTTTAAAGTCCACATATTTTTCTTTTTCTAAGAAGTGTTTTTCTTCCTTTTCAGGTAACAAATATACTTTAGAGACTAGACCAAACCAAGAAGGCATTGATGTAAGACAGGAGCTACTGAAATTCCATTCTACTTATTATTCATCCAACTTAATGGCTATTTGTGTGTTAGGTCGAGGTAAGAATCCTTAAAATTTTTCATAGAATTGGATAATCTAAGTTTTCCATTTGGCTCTTTGAAAGTGTTGGGAGAAGGATATATGGCCTTTTATCTGCTCAGAGGCTTTTGAAAATGATTTCCTTGTTGGAGAAGGAACAAGGAATTTTGTTTTTAACTCTGTGTTCTAAAAAGGAGTATAGATGATTTAAAATGGAGACCTGAGAAAAATATAAATTACTAGTAGGTACTATAAACATATAAAAGCAAAGAAAGGAAGTATAAAGGGAAAGATTAACAGATTTGACCTTGTAACAATTCAGAAAACTAGGAACAAGATTAAAAGGCAGATAACGGGGGAAAAAAAGGCAGATGATGATACACTGGAAAAATGATTTGTAATATAAACAAAGGTTTGACTTTTTATTTATTTTCTTATTATTTTTTAATTTTATTTTTTAAAGTTTTTAATTCCAGTTGGTTAATATACAGTGTTATATTAGTTTCAGGTGTACAGTATAGTGATTCAACAATTCCGTACATCACCCAGTGCTCATCACCACAAAAGTGCACTCCTTAATCCCCATCACCTATTTCACGCATCCCCCTCAACTTCCCCCATGGTAACCATCAGTTTGTTCTCTGTCATTACGAGTCTGTTTCTTGATTTGTCTCTCTCCTTCCCGCCCCCCCACACTTTGTTTTGTTTCTTAAATTCCACATATGAGTGAAATCATACAGTATTGGTCTTTCTCTGACTGACTTATTTCACTTAACATTATACTGTCTAGCTCCATCAGTGTTGTTGCAGATGGTAAGATCTAATCCTTTTTTATGGCTGAGTAGTATAATCCATTGTATATATACACCACATCTTCATTCATCTATCAATGGACCCTTGGGCTGCTTTCATATAAAGGTTTGACTTTTTAAATGCAAATTAAGTAAGACAAGATAGTGTTTCCTCCTGTTAAATTACCATAATTTTGTTTTTAAGTAGTACTCATTATGGAGGAGCAGTGCCCTTTTGTATTGGTGATGATGTATACCATTTATGCAATTGTTCTAGACTTTCTGGAGAACAGGTTAACATGGTGCATCATCCTTAAAAAGTTTGTTTTTACTTCTGGAAATGCAATCTAAGGAAATAACCAGAGTTGTTCAAAAAGTTGATGCAGTAGGATATTTCTGTCAATATAGTATTAGTGAAAGTTAGAAACGATCTGATTGTTCATTAATAGAAGATGGGTTAAATAATGATGTTATAGCTATGTAATAGGGCATCTTATAGAAAATTGCATCTCTTTTCTCACTTTCTATTCTCCTACCTGCTTTATTTTTCTTTACAACATTTATTACCACCTGAAATATTAAATATTTATCATTGCCCACCATACTAGAAAGTAATTTACTTGAGAATAGAAGCTGTTTTGTTCACTGCTTTGTCCCCAGTGTGTGAGTTAGTGCTTGACACATCATAGGCACATGGTAAAATATATATTGAATGAAAAATAATTTTATGACAGTGTTTTAATAACATGGGAAAATATTCTTTTTTTTTTTTTAAAGATTTTATTTATTTATTTGACAGAGAGACAGCGAGAGAGGAAACACAAGCAGGGGGAGTGGGAGAGGGAGAAGCAGACTTCCCGCGGGGCAGGGAGCCCGATGTGGGACTCGATCCCAGGACCCTGGGATCATGACCTGAGCCAAAGGCAGACGCTTAACGACTGAGCCACCCAGGCGCCCCCATGGGAAAATATTCTTAATGTGTCCAATAGAAAGCAAAAGCACTCTAAAAACTATGTGCTATATGATCCATTTGGGGATTTATAAAAAATTATAATAGACATATATGGTGTAGACATAAGACAAAATAGAAAAACATACTAGAAATTTAATGTGATATAGTAGTTGAGAACTCATGCTCTAGACTCTTACAGTTTGAGTTTGAATTCCAGATATACCACCTACTTAGCTGTGTGGCCTTGAGCTAACAGAGTTACTTCAGATCTCTGAACTCTAGTTTTTACATTTTTAAAATGGAGGCGTGTTACCTCATAACCTGTTATGAGGTTTAATCAAGATAATGCAGAAATGTTTAGCATGGGGCCTGGCACATAGCAAATGCTCCATAAACGGTAGCTACTTTTAAGCATCCCATAAGCATAAGATTATGAACGACTTTTGTTTCTTTCTTTTTACATTTGTTGTTAGTTTTCTACTTTTGGCAAATGTTACATTTGTAAGTAGAAAATAAGCAACTTATATATTTTAAGTTGGCAATAAGAACCAGGATATAAAATGGGTCTAAGGAGTGAAGCCAATGAAATAAAAAGTGTCTCTATAATTCTGTGTGCTTGCTAACAGTAGCTAGTTCTAGAGTGTTAAATATCACTTGGTATTTAGAGCCTAGTCCTGGGAATATTTTTGTCTGTGTTGTATTGAGATGAAAAACACTTGATTTCAGTAAGCACTTATTGGGCGAGTGATAATGACAACAGATGAATCAGGCAGCAGGCCTGCCTTCCTTGTTCCCTGTTTATTGGAAGTGACAGAGTAAGTGTCTAAAAGAAACAGATGTTTCAGTTCCCTGATTGCATACACATCACTCTCCTAGTGTGACTGACCTGTGCTGAGCTCAGTGGACTTGATGAGGGACCTGGGAGAGGTGTCCTTGCAGCACAAGAGGTATGAGGAGGAAACAGGATCTCTCAGAGGATTAATAGAAAATCCGCTCCTTCTTCTAGGATGAGGGGAGAGAAAGAATAACCATGTGGAAGGATCTCTGTCACAAAGGGACAAAAAAGTTTTTCTCTGTTCTCCCACGGGATCATCCCTCTAGTTGTGGCAGCACTAATTACCTGGAAACTTGGCAAGTAGGTAACTATCAAGTACAGACACTGGGATTGCCAAGTCCTCACGATGTAACGATGAAAGGGACTCAGTTCCCTGATCTCCAGTAGCGCACTGCTTAGTGGGGAAGACAGACTGCAGTATCAGATAGCTGCTGTACCTTTAAAAAGCTACACTGTGAACTTACGCTTTTAGGGTAGAAATACTCAAAAGGCCCACCTGGTAGAACCTTGCTTAGTCTAAAGGGCCTCACTGTAGCCAGCACCTCAGGTTGATAAACCTTTGTTTACTGCCCACCTTGTTTCAAGTCATATGTTCCATCTGTGCATAAAGATACTCTGCCATCTCTTTCTCCAGATACACCCACTCCATCCCTGAGTTTACTTGTCATTTAACAAGCAGCCACTGGTCCACCTCATATTTGGCTCTGGACATTTTGAGGTCCTCCATACATATCAAAAAATTGAAGGAAAAATATGTATGCTTAATAAGTAAAGTGCAAATGCCCATATTCATAGGGCTAAAAGAATTTCATACGATATAAAGGCAAATCTCAAATAGTGATTAAGTGCTCTCTAAAGAGTTCATGGAAAAGTTCAAAATGGGTCATAGAATATCAAGGGAAATTTCTTACTTGATCCAAATGCTTCCTGACAGTAACAGGTGATGAATGTTTATACCATTTATAAATAACCTATTCTTGAGGAGACAGAATCAAGGTGAGGGGTTATCTTGTTTATAAAAAGATAACCTTTTGAGCACCTGGCTGGCTCAGTCAGTAGAGCATGCCACTCTTGATATCAGGGTCCATGAGTTCGAGTCCCATGTTGGACATAGAGATCACTTTAAAAAAAAAAAAAAAGAACCTTTTTTCACTTTTAAATTTTTTGAATGATGGAAATATGTGTACATGGAAAAAAATTTATCCCACATAGAAAGGTATAAAGTAGAAATCAAGTTTTTCTCTTTCTTCCCATCCTGTGATGACAATGCCCTCTCCTCAGATATTTCACCTTAAGTCATTTCTTGTTATACTTCCAAAAGTGGGATTTTGTTAATATACTCACATGTAAGTGTGCCTGTTAAAAAAATTGAGATTGCCTGCAGTTTTCACTTCATAGGGCTTTCAGATACTTTTGTATCAGCACATAGAGATTTCTCCCTTATTAATGACTGCATAAAATTCTAATGTATAGACATTTCATAATATTCACATGCTCATAGATGTTTAGGTCATTTCCAGTTTTTGTTATAAACAGTGCTGCAGTGAACATATTATACATCTTTATAAGCTTTTCAAGTATAACTCTATAAAAGAATATAGGTAGGCGATAACATAGAATAGCTTAAGTGGCCATATCATTCTAACAACAATTACAAGTCTTTGAATGAGTTTGGCACATCATGATACAGAATCATATAATGTTAGACCTTGGAAGAGACTTGTGATTATCTCACCCAGTGTTCTCATTTTACAGAACCTGAAGTGGTTAACCAGGTTGTCCAGGTAGTCAGTTGATATGGTTGGGGAAGCCAGGGTTAGGATCCAGGTCCTCTAGTCTCCCCACCCAAGATTCTTTTTATCATTTTGTACTCTTTCCCCACAGAATCACTCACAGACTCTAACATTTGACTTTTAACAATGGGCTTAGATTGTGTCTATTTGTAAAGTATATGTTATAATCTATCAGCTGATGGTTTAGTATGTGCCTGTTGGCAATTGTAGATCAAATAGTTTTCCAAGTGCAGCCAATTATTCTATTACCGTCTTCAATATGTGTTTTAAATTTATTGCAAGACAACATTTGTGAAACAGTTTTTAAACTGTAAAGAGCTAGACGTGTGAGTTATCATTATTATTGGTATTGCTTAGCTTTAGAAGTTACACAGGCACTGATAGGGTTGAACGGAGTGCTTCAACTTCATCAGATGAAGCTTTAAAAAAATCGTAGATTTTCTTTTTAATAGTCGGAAGGTTTTTCAGGAGATCCTAAGGTTTTGTTTAGCTTTATTGAGATATAATTGACATGTATTGTGTAAGTTTAAGGTAAAAATTGTAGTGATTTTATATATGTATATATGATCTTAAGGTTTTAAATACTACCTCTCATGTTATGATAGTTTAAGTTCTGTTTTCATTGTCTGTTTTCTTACAGAATCTTTAGACAACTTGACTAATCTGGTGGTAAAGTTATTTTCTGAAGTTGAGAACAAAAATGTCCCACTGCCAGAATTTCCTGAACACCCTTTCCAAGAAGAACATCTTAAAGTAAGTGCATGTATTTCTGATATTTTTTCTTTTTTAATTCATGGACATAATATATGCCTAGTTTACCAAAGTGTAGATGAAAAATTTTGAAAGGTTTATTTATACAGGTATTTTTCGTCCTTTTTTTTTTTTTTAAGATTTTATTTGAGAGAGAACGAGTGGTGGGGAGAGGCAAAGGGGGAAAGAGAGAGAAGCAGACTCCCCGCTGAGCAGGAAGCCTGATACGGCGCTTGATTCCAGGACCCAGAGACCATGACCCGAGTCCAAGGCAGACACCCAAATGACTGAGCTGCCCAGGCACCCCTGTTTATACAATTTTTAATATTTGTTTGAATAATTGAATCAGTTTCACATTTATTAGGGATAATGTTTCACCAAAAAGATATCAACGGATACCTGATCTTTGCATGCTAAAAGTAGTTTCTGTAGTTAGAGCCTTGATAAACTGTAGAAGCTGTTCTCCAGTGCCAGAAGGCAAGCATATTGAGCCGCATGGTCGAGGGGACCAGAAATAGGCTGTGCACCAGCTGTAATGAAAGTCCACTTAGAGAGAGCCCAGGCCAGTTACTTTTTGTGGTCAGTACAGTTTTCTCTGGCAATTGATTCTCTTTTGAATTTGGGATTTTTCCATGAAAATCTGTATTCTTCATAGTTTATAAATATTTTATTCAGTAGGAATTGATATAGCTAATCTTTCTTGATTATTTTTTTTCCAGCAACTTTACAAAATAGTACCCATTAAGGATATTAGGAATCTTTATGTGACTTTTCCCATACCTGACCTTCAGAAATACTACAAATCAAATCCTGGCCATTATCTTGGTCATCTCATTGGTCATGAAGGTCCTGGAAGTCTGTTATCAGAACTGAAGTCAAAGGGTAAGTCTTTTGGGCACCAGTTTCTGAGTGTAGTACCCCACATCCTTTTACTCTGGCTCTCGTTTTCTCCTAGATTTTTTTGTGTGAAGGAGCATTTGTGGGTAGGTTGGTTTGGGGTCTATGGGAGAGTGAGGTGGTAGTTGTTAGTGTGCTTTTGTTCTTTTTGCTTTGGGTTCCCCCCCATAATTGTTTTACCCTTCAGAATTGTGCAGTGAAGTTTAGATTTTTCAAAAGATACTGTGCTACATGTTTTAAATAACAGAGAGGTTCGAAAGTAAAAGCTCACATTGGGTAGTCTTCACCATCTCTGAAATAACAGTATACCTTATTTATTTGCTTGCTCTTATCCTTCAGACCAGAGGGTGTACTAGGATCTAGTCAGTAGATGATTTCCAAAGCCCCTCTCAACTCAGGCTCTGCTTTTATGTAATACTTAAGCATGGTAGTCTACTCTTGCCTGGGAACTGACTTGAAGAGTCCTGAGGAACCTCCCAACCCAAAAAATCCCATCAGTCTTCCACAGTGTCTGAAATGGTTTTTCTGAACCCATTTTTTCTGCTCTTTTCTGCAAGTGGTCCATTCTAATATCTTGGGAACATATAGTATAAATTAAAAAGAACATTCTTTGTCTTAAAAGGAACCACACATACAACTCTGTTTTGATTTCCTTTGAATGTTACAGGCTGGGTAAATACTCTTGTTGGTGGACAGAAGGAAGGAGCCCGAGGTTTTATGTTTTTTATCATTAATGTGGACCTGACTGAGGAAGGATTATGTAAGTATTGACCTTTTTGTTTTTTTAATGAAAATTGACTTCTTATGATACATTTTCTAAAATTTCTTCATGCTGTGGATCTGTTTTATGTTGTAAAGCCATAAAACCTTTAATTCGTATAATTCATCCATTTTATTTTTCATGCGCAACTTGGCCTTCATTTCATGAATGATTTTTTCTTCTTAACGACCTGTCATTATGTTGCACTTGTGAAATGTGTACTTGGCTTTTCATTGGCTCATTAACTTCCCCAAAGTCCTTTCTGTCACATATCCCAGACCCTGGAGGGCCCTGTGTGTGGGACCCTAAAACCAGTCTCTGGTTTCTACTCACCTGACTTTACCTTAGGAGTGAGCTCACTGCTTTGATGGATTCAAGGACTGAATGGTTTTTAAGTATGCCCCTTTTTTTCCAGTACACGTTGAAGATATAATTTTGCACATGTTTCAATACATTCAGAAGTTACGTGCAGAAGGACCTCAAGAATGGGTTTTCCAAGAATGCAAGGTAATTTTGTTTCACCAAAATTTTTCTTAAGGAAATTTTTCAGAAAACATATATATGTGAATTAATTTAAATTTAAGGCTCAGTGAAAAAGTTTTGGGGGTTTTTGTTGTTATTTAAACTCTAAAATCTTGCAATGCGTAGTAGCTTTAGTTAAAGCTTAGTTGTACTACTTTGATTGGCTATCTGGGGCACAATTAGGGCTAAGGCATCAAGTAACCTTTTTTTCCGAGGGAAAAAGACATTGCTTTTCTATCCCTCAGAAGAAAGCCAGCAGTTTCTTGAGCTTATATCTGTCAGGGTGTACCTTACTGTTTGCCTGAAGCTTCATGAGCCTCTGTCATTTTCAGATCTGCTGACAAAAATCTACAATGAACTTTCAAAGAAATTGTGAATTGTTTTATATATATGATTGTGTTTTGTTTTTTTTTAAAGATTTATTTATTTATTTATTTGACAGAGAGATAGAGAGCACAAGTAGGCAGAGTGGCAGGCAGAGGGAGAGGGAAAAGCAGGCTCTCTGCTGAGCAGGGAGCCGGACGTGGGGCTCAATCCCAGGACCCCAGGATCATGACCTGAGCCGAAGGCAGACGCTTAACCGACTGGGCCACCCAGGCGCCCCTATGTGATTGTGTTCTTAAAAGTGATTTTATTGTTCTTGTATGTATGGAAAAGCCTGGCTGTCCCTTATTATTTTTTTTTATTCTTATGTTAATCCCCATACATTACATCATTAGTTTTAGATGAATGTCCCTTATTATTTTTTAATAAAACAAAAGTTCTCTGTCTTTCAAAATTTCATTATTTATTTTTTTATTTTTAAAGATTTATTTATTTGAGAGAGAGAGAGAGCACACAGGGGAGAGGGACACAGGGAGAGGGAGAAAGAGTGTTTTAGGCAGACACAGGGCTTAATCCCACAACCCTGAGACACGACCTGAGCCGAAACCAAGAGTTGGATGCTCAACTGACTGCGCCACCCAGGCAACCCCTTCCAGAATTTTAAAGCCTTCTTTTAAATGTTTTATAAAAATATGTGCTTTATATTTAAGGCCTATTGAGATTCTGAAATGTATTTTAGGATGAAAGAAATCCTTTTTACTTAGGTAAAAGTTTAAAGGGATACTCTGCTTGTGGAACCTAGGACAGGAACTTCTAATCTGGGTGCAGTTCTCTGAATGGATCAACAAAATGATCATCTGTGCAACTGTTGATCTTGCAAGGTTCTTCCAGTTTTCCTAATTCTTTGACTAATAGTTTCAATAATTAGGCTAAAGAATCATATTCTGTTTTGGTTATTTTCATTCATGTTCTGTACATTTCTAAATCAAGCATAGCCGATTTTTTCTGATAAAGTTAAATGTGGAGCAGAAAGTCTGTAGTGCAAACTAAACACTACAGAAAGAACCTTTTTTTCTTTAAAGTATTTCTAAATAGTAGTTGACTTATGTATAATTGGATTAATTTTACATTTTAGGACTTGAATGCTGTTGCATTTAGGTTTAAAGATAAAGAGAGGCCACGGGGCTATACCTCTAAGATTGCAGGAATATTGCATGTAAGTTTGTTATTTTATGTGTACATTGGTATATAGAGTATTTTTGTGATCCTGCATATATTACCTTTAGTACTACATGAATGATAAGGAAGCTGCAGTATAAAACTTTAGATTTTGTAGCAACCAGGCAAACTTTGATGCCAAGCAATGCTTAAAATCTTAATTTTCATCATCCTAAAAATTATCATCTATAGGATTTTTCATACAGAGGCATTTTGCTTCTTCGATTTAAATATTTTTCAATTCTACAATGTGTCATTTGCTAATTATGTGAAAGCTATATAGATCATCTACTTTTCTCCATTTCTGTTGCTACCACCCTAGTCTGAGCTACCATCATTTCTTGCCTTGACTACCATTATAATCTCTTACCTGGGATCTCGGTTTTCCCTCTTGTTCCACACTATAGTTTATTATCCCAGTCTTGGTAATCTTTTGAAAACCAAAATCAGATTGTTTCTCTTCTCTGTGTCAAGTCCTCAGTAGTTTCCTGTCAGAGTTCGAATAAAATCCAAAATGTCACGTTGGCCTACAAGGTGATCTGGCCCCAGCCTGTCTCTCTAACCATGTTCTATATAACTCCCCAGCTCATCCCTCCCATTCTCATTCTCCTCCAGCTATACTGGCTGCCTGCCTGCCTGATCTTCAAGCATTAAGTTTGTTCCTCCCTCTTAGTACCTTTTACATTTGCTGTTTTCTCTACCTGGAACTCTCTTCTCTCTTGTCTTTGCATGACTGGGTTCTTATCATTTGGATTTCCACTTAGGTGTCTCTTCCTCACAGAGACCTTCCCTGACATCCCAGTCATGCCCCACCCCTTTTTAATTCATAGCACCTATCACTATAATGACACTATTTGTTTACTGTCTACCTCCCTCCCAATTACAATATAAGCTCCTTGGGTAAAATAAGTGAAGGGGATTAAGAGTGCACTTATCTTTTTTTTTTTTTTTAAGAGTGCACTTATCTTGATGAACACTGAGTAATATAGAATTGTTGAATCACTGTATTTGTACATCTGAAACTAATATAACACTCTATGTTAACCATACTGGAATTAAAAACAAAAAACTTTAAAACTCTGTTCACTCCCTCTCCTAACTTACATGTTCATTGTTGTTTAGTATTTTAGTTCAGCCTTGAGTCTTAATCCCCAAATGAATTACTGTTATTACTAAATGTACTATTGTATGCAAAAATAAAAAAAAAATATATAAGCTCCTTAGGGAGCAGGGACATGATCTATCTTGCCTGGCACAGAGTAGATACTCGTTAAATATTTATTGAATGAATGAATCAGTCTGAGTGTATTGGAGGTTGCTTTTACTAATAGAAAGCATCTTCGACATTATTTTTCTTCCCTAGCCAAAAATATAAGCCATTTCCCCCCACAACAACTTTCTAAATGCTTTTCTGATTTCATTCATAGAAATTTGAGAGGAAATTCTGTTTATAAAAATGTATGTACTTTATGTTAAGAATCCTATAGGTGTCAGCATTTCACTATCAAATTTTCTTCATTAAGAAGTATTCAGTTTTTAGGCAGAAATATTACACTTTTCCCTGAAAAAAAAAATGTGATTTTGCTATCATGTAAATGTATGTGGGGATTAACTGCAAAATCATTGTACAACAGGAAACTGCTTCAAGTGTGGTAAGAAAGAAAAAAGAAATTTTTCCAGCAGAGTAAAATTTAATTGAAGGAGGATGTGGGGTGTGTGTATAAAATAATGGGTTTAATGTGTTAGAGATTTGTTTGCTTTAATAAGTTAGACTCTATAGTAGCCTTGCATATTTTATTTATCTATCTATTTTCCTTTTAATAAGTATTATCCCCTAGAAGAAGTGCTCACGGCTGAATATTTACTGGAAGAATTTAGACCTGACTTAATAGAGATGGTTCTCGATAAACTCAGACCAGAAAATGTCCGGTGAGTCACTCTACAGATTTTACTGCTACATACTAAATTTTCAGTAATGATTAGAAGCTGAAAATTTGGAATTGTGAATAAAATGCTTTTAAACTTGTTATTGAACATGATTAAAGTAGAAAGAATAGTATAATGAAGCAATACCAAACATCAGCAAATCAGTACGTGACCAGCCTTTCTTATCTTTAACTACCCCTCTCCTCACTCATCCTCCCTCCACTCTAGATGATTTTGAGGCAGGATCTCTAAAACATGAACACTTTTTTATTTTTTAATTTTTTTAAAGATTTTATTTGACAGAGACATTGCGAGAGAGGGAACACAAGCAGGGGAAGTGGGAGAGAGAGAAGCAGGCTTCCCGCCGAGCAGGGAGCCTGATGTGGGGCTCGATCCCAGGACCCTGGAACCATGACCTGAGCCGAAGGCAGATGCTTAACGACTGAGCCACCCAGGCGCCCACATGAAGACTTTTTTAAAAAACAAAACAAGAGGTGCCTGGATAGCTTAGTCAGTTGGGCATCTGACTCCTGATTTTGGCTCAGGTCATGATCTCAGGGTCCTGGTATTGAGCCCTGCATTGGGCTTCATGCTCAGAAGGGAGTCTGCTTGAGGATTCTCCCTCTCTCTCTTTTTCTCCCACTCTCTCTCTCTAAAACAAATAAATCAATCTTAAAAAAATAATCATAATTTCATTATCATGAATAAAATGTAATAATAGATCATCTTAACCTGACTTCATCCTAACTCAAATACCCAAGGTGTCAGATTACATATCTGGCTTCATAATCATAAACAAGTGAGGACACCCTCTTTTTTCTTAAGTGGACGTATTACAGTCTCAGAATCCTTCTCACTGACCAGTGATTAACCAAGAGATCAAAAGTTGGAGGAGCTCTTACATAAGTAACAGATATTCTTATTAGAGGAGGTTCAGCCCTAAAGAGCTGAGGAACTATCCCATGATGTTTCTGCCTCAAAATTGAATTTCATCCATGTTTTCCAAAGTGAAATAATACTAGGAATATACTTAAGGGGCACATATTTTGCATTTTTTATTTTTTTCCTCTGTCCAGCACGTATTTCCAAAATTCTCCTGGGAACTTGGAGATTGAGTAAATATGTTTTTTGGAACAGTCATTTTATGAATAAAATCAACAATCTGGTAGAAGTTTTTGAAGAAGAAAAATCCTTCTGACAGAACTATTCCATCAGAGCCTTTTTCCTAGTTACCATTGTTTGCACTTTTCCAGACATGTACTAGCAACAAACAATGGGAAAATTAAAAGAAATATTATTGGTAGTTACACAATGTGATAAATATGATAAAATGACATAGAACTAACTCTATGTACACATTCTTTTTTTTTTTTTTTAAAGATTTTATTTATTTATTTGAGAGAGGGAGAATGAGAGAGAGCACGAGAGGAAAGAGGGTCAGAGGGAGAAGCAGACCCCCTGCTGAGCAGGGAGCCCGATGTGGGACTCGATCCCGGGACTCCAGGATCACGACCTGAGCCGAAGGCAGTCGCTTAACCAACTGAGCCACCCAGGCGCCCCTCTATGTAACACATTCTATCAATGCCATTTTCCTAGTTTGGGTATTTTACTATAATTAATGTAAGAGTTAATTAACCATTGAGGGAACTGGGTGAAGAGTACACGGGACCTCCCTCTATTATTTTTGTAACTTTCTATGAATTTGTAATTATTTCAAAATTGAAAGAGAAAACATTTACAATAGCAACAAAAATGTAAATAACTAGGAATGAATTTAATCAAAGATAAGCAAGACTTCAACATATAAAACTACAAAACAGTGCCGAAAGAAATTAAAGACCTTGTTAGGAGATTTGCTATTAAATTCTCTCCAGTCTGATTCATAGACTCTGTGTAATCACAGTCAAAATCCTAGTAGCCGTTTTTCCTTTTAGTAATTGGTAAACTGATTCCAAAATACCTATGGGCATACAAAGGACCTGGATTATCCATAACACTCTTTTTTTTTTAAGATTTATTTATTTATCGTAGAGAGAGAGAGAGCAAGTATGGGGTGGGGGGGAAGGGCATTGGGAGAGAGAGAGAATCTTGAGCAGACTCCATGCTGAGCCTGGAGCCTGACAGGGGGCTCGACCCCAGGACCCTGAGATAATGCCCCGAGCTGAAATCAAGAGTCGATGCTTAACCAACTGAGCCACCCAGGTGCCCAGCCATAACACTCTTGAACATAAAAACAAAAGTTGGAGGACTCAAACTATTGGATTTGGAGGTTAACTATAAAGCTACGTTAATTACAACATTGTGCATTGGCCTGAGGATCAAAAAGAAATCATTAGAATAGAACAGAGTCCAGAAATAGGCCCACACATATATGTTCAGAGGATGTCTTTTTTGTGTGGTAAAAAAACACATAATAGGGGCGCCTGGGTGGCTCAGTTGGTTAAGCGACTGCCTTCGGCTCAGGTCATGATCCTGGAGTCCCTGGATCGAGTCCCGCATCGGGCTCCCTGCTTGGCAGGGAGTCTGCTTCTCCCTCTGGCCCTCCCCCCTCTCATGTGCTCTCTCATTCTCTCTCTCTCAAATAAATAAAGAAAATCTTTAAAAAAAAAACCACATAATATAAAATTTACAGTTTTAACCATTTCTAAGTGTACAGTTCAGTATTATATTCATATTGTTAAATATATTAATATTGTTGTGAAGCAGATCTCCAGAACTTATTCACCTTGTAAAATTGAAACTGTACCCATTAAACAAGTCCTCTTTTCTCCCTCTTACCATCTCCTGGTAACAACCATTCTACTTTGTTTTCATGAATTTGACTACTTACATATCTAGTATCAGTGGACTCATACAATGTATCTTTATCTCACTTAGCATAATGTCTTTAAGGTTCATCTATGTTGTACCATGCGACAGGATTTCCGTTTTGCCAAATTAAATCTACAAGTACAGCTGTAGAGTCTTGGCCACGTCCCCTGCCTAAGTCATAAGTAAATCTTTGTTTAGGAGGAGTTCTTGCTGAATCTGTGCAGGGCCTAGGATAATTGTCTTCTTGTCTAAATGTTTGGTAGTCTGACAGTTGACTAGACTTTTGTGAGAGGTCAGTGCCTAAACCACTGGCTTACACTTTTTTAGGCTCTACTCCTTTCCCTTTCTGAAAATTAGAGCATTTGTCCATCTCCATCTTCTGCCTCTTCTCCTGTCCTCCAGTGTTTCTAAAAGTTGATGGGCAGTGATCCTACCTGGGATTTGTTAGTTGCCTAAGCATCAGAGAATGTGAATGATCTGCGTTGGAGATGTGAATTCATTTACTTGGCTGGCTCACTCATTAATCCTGGCCTGGGTTTCAACCCCCTTTTTTTCTGTTGTTTGGTCCACCTTTGCAGTTTAAAGACCCATGTTTTTTCTTTTTTTAAAAGATTTTATTTATTTGAGGGAGAGAGAGAACACAAGTGGGGGGCAGGGGCAGAGAGAGGGAGGAGCAGGCTCCTCACTGAGCAGAGAGCCCAATGTGGGGCTCGATCCCAGGACCCTGAGATCACAACCTGAGCCGCAGGCAACTGCTTAATGGATTGAGCCACCCAGGCACCCCGACCCATGTTTTTTCTAAAAACAGTATGAATAAGAGGTCAATAGTCCTGTCATCTGCCAATCTGAGACCAAAATGTGTATCACATTTTGCTTTAGGTCTTGTGTCCTGTTGGATTATGAGGTCCTTCCAGGTAAGAACTGTGTTTTTTTCAGATTCAAGTTACCAAGGGCTTAATAAAAGTTGGTTGACTTCTCTAAGCCTTTAGCCTAATCTTTCTTGATTCCTTCTTTCTTTAAGAAACCCTTTTAAAAGGTGTTTTTTTTTTAGCATTTTTCATGAACCTCAATTTCTTCAGCACTGTGGCCTTCCTGTCACAATTCTTTAAGTTTGGCTTTGGGTCTCATCAGTAGATTTTTTTTGTACCTTCTTTCTTCTTTGAGGCATGTCTTTTGAAAATATGATTTGATATCATGATATTGTAGAATTCTTCTAGTGGAAGGATAGAGTTCATCTACTTAGAATCCTTACTTAAAAAGTAGTGAAACTGAAGCCCAGAGACTTGCCTAATTTAGATCTTAACTGTGATTTTGGCAAGATCTCAAAGAAAATAAGTCAGAGTATTGACCAGAATCCAAGTTTCTGATGGCCAGATCTGTACCCTCTCTATTAATTCTGTTTGAATTCATCACAATTACCTGTGAAGCCTCTCCTCATTCTTGGATGTCTTTCCACCTTTGCTCTCTCAGGGATTATTTGCAAAAATCTCATGAGAATTCATATCTGGGGAGCCGTATTTCCTTTTAATGTCTATAGTCAGAATGCTTACTGTTTCTGAATGAGTTCTGTAGAGCTTCAACAGCTGTTCATTACCTTTGAACATTTCTAAATGGCTGACTTGAAGCCAGTGGTGGGCATTCATTCTAGCCCACTGTTTCACTGTTGCAAGTTTCGGTATACAAAGAAAAGTTCTTTTTCTCTCTTCTTTCTAAGGACCATGTTAGTACCATATCAGCAGTCAGTTCTTTGTAGATAGAATTAAAGAATAGCATTGTCACACACACACACTTAAAAAAACTCAAGACTATTTTTAAGCATAATTAGATTTCCAGCAGATAGTCTAAGGATGTAACAGTATCTGTGCTAGTTTTTCTCAGCTGTCTGCAGTTAAATATATTGCAGCTCTCCATGGCATACTTAGATTATTGTGCCTTCTCTTCTTTTTTTCCTAACTTAAGTCTCTTGTGCTTTCACACTCTGGTTTGTAGATTTCTGTGTAGGTCTGATGTGTATATACTCTGTCTCTTCTGTTATTCCCCTTGCTTACCTTTTATAATTTATTTTTAAATAGTTTTTCACTGTATGTTTCAGTTTTAAATTCCTCAGTGGTCTACTAGTTCTTGTTCTGCAAAGGTATCCCTCTTTGTCAGGACAGTATTTGATGTTTGCCTTGTTTGAGGGAACTGTGTTTATTTCATATTTACTAGCGTAACATTTCAAATGTTACCCATCCACTTTACCTTGGTATACAGCTATCTAAATCCCTTAGGATTGTACCTGACCAATTGCCTCTCTTCTCCCCCTTTTTAACCTGAGCATTACTGAGCAGCCTCCAGTGTCTGTTGCTTTCTGTGTCCTAAGTCATCCTCCAAAGCACCTGGCAGCCTTCCCTGAGCTTATTCACTTTCTCTCTCAGGACAGAGTTTAAGGTGCTCTTGTTTCAGGGGCCGTGTCCACTGCCACATGAATGCTTCAGTGTTCACAGGTTGTCATCAGTAGTTTGTACATTATTCTGATGTGTGGGCCATCATTCAGGGAGACCAAAGCCACCTATGTAACAAACTTGTCCAAAATCAGGCACCTCATGGAAGAGAAGATAGGAATACCACCTGTCTACCAGGTTATTTTACTTCCTAACACAGTTTTCAGAGTTCTCCTTGAGAATCAGTCCATTCGTTTTTTAGGAAGTCACCAGGAGTAGAAGCACTTTCTCGGGCTGAGTCTTAGGAGGCTCTGTCATGTATTGAATGAGTGTCCTTAACAAACATTACATATCCTTCATGTGGCCACATGAGTTCTATACACACGCCACGTATACCTGCAAAAGGAATTCTCAAAATGCCAACATGGATCACTTCTTCTGGACACAATAACAGAACTCTTCCATCCATTAAGCCCTATGATTCCTCCCTCTCTTTCTATGGATTATATTCTTAAGTGGTCAGAGGCAGCTAGGCCAGATCAGGAATACCATATCAGCAGCCAATTCTTTGTAGATAGAATTAAAGAATAGCATTGTCTCTCTCTCTCTCTCTCACACACACACACACACAAAAACTGGCAAATCAGAAGATAGAGAGGTGTTTCTTGGTCTTGTTTCCTTTACCTCTAGAAGCATGAAGGCCAATGTACATGTACTAGATATATTTGATGGTAGTCTCTGGCAGGAAAAAAACCATAGAGCACAAACTTAGCGAATAATAATAAAAGTGTGTTTTTGGTTTTTTGGATCTCTGGATGAGCCAACAAGGGTTGGGGCGGGGGGGTTAGCTATTTTTGTTAACCCTGGTCCTCGGCTGTTTCTGGAAGGAGTACTTTGTTTTGCTTTTTTAAAGACTATTTTACAACTGACTTTGTTCCATTTTTTTCCCTAGCTACTCTTCTTTTAAAATTTTAGTCAGTAGCATTACCCACAAGAGTCCTGCACACAGTTTTTCACATTAAAAATGAAGGGCTCCAACCAAAGGGTAACAGAGACCATGGTCAGAAACCTCTATACTTGGTTGCCTATTTTGACTAAGTGTTAGCGGATTTACTGGGTCTTAGAGGCCCACCATGTTCTTGGATATTATTTATATTTTAATGAGTAAGGTTCTATAAATTCATGTATCCAACATGAGTTTATGGTGTCTGTCTGTTTTTCCCACTTACCTTTAGGGTTGCAATAGTTTCCAAGTCCTTTGAAGGAAAAACTGACCACACAGAAGAGTGGTATGGAACCCAGTACAAGCAAGAAGCCATACCAGATGAAGTCATTAAGGTAGGGTTTGCTCATCTGTGAATAAACTTGATGTGTGAGGGACACACAGGAGCATGAGCTCTCTACATCAACCAACTCACGGCCCAGAGTATGGAGAGTGATGGCCCATGGCTGTCTGTACTGTCCTGAGCAAAGTGAACAAGGAGATGGAGAGCTAGAACTTAGGTTTTTGCATGAAGAAATGGCACTGTGGCCATCTTCTCATGTGTCTGTTAGATCAGCAGGGCTGAAAGCAGACTCCCAGCTTCATGCAGTCAAAGATCACTGAAGTCCAAAGTACACAGAGAAGCAAAGACACCAAAACAGGCAAGAAGAGATGGAAGTAGAGAGCACGAAAGACAGATACAAGGGCTCCAAAGGCCTCACGGTCGTGCTGTATATACAGGTGGGAACAGTCTCTGGGATTCACACTGTCTTCACTTTAGGAGATGCTGTATTGTATGCCTCATATTGTCTCATTGCTCCTTTTGTCTGTGTAAGGGAATTAGAATTTGTTTCAAAATAGGTGTGTTTAGATAGTATGTTACCCCATTCATCAGTAGTCCAGATTTTGTTTTTGAGTCTTATCTACTTGTCTAGTATTTTTTCTTTTTTGATTTTCATTGTCACCATATCTTTGAGATTGTGTCCTTTATTCATGGGAAGACACCAGAAAGCCTTGCTGTGACTAGAGTCTAGTTAAACTTGAGTAATGGATATTTCTTAAGTGTACCCGTGTAATACAGAAAAAAGAAGAAATAGTTTAAGAAAATCGTTGCTGGTACTTCTCTGACCTATTCACAGCACAGAAGGAGATCACTGGAGCCCTTTTGTGTATGAAAATATCCATCTAGCTAAACTGTGAGGAATGCTGATCTCCCATGAATTAATCCTAAAACAAAAGAGAACCCCTATTCACCAACCTCTGATGACAACAAACCTGCCCTGAATGGGAATTTTTAAAAAATATTTTATTTATTTTAGAGAGAGAGTGCGCAAGTGGAGGGAGGGGTGGGGAGGGAGAGAGGGGGAGGGAAAGAACCTGATGTGGGGCTCGATCTCACGATCCTGAGCCTAAACCAAGAGTTGGATGCTTAACTGACTGAGCCACCCAGGCACCTCCTGAATGGGATTTTTTTTTTTTTTTTTTAAGATTTTATTTATTTATTT